GCTGTGTCACTGAAGGAAATCAACACAGGAACTCAAACAAGGCAGGAACCTAGAGGCAAAAACTGATGCAGGGGTCATGGAAGGGTGTTGCTTACTGGCTTGATCATCATGACTTGCTCAGGACCACAAGCCCAGGCATGGCATCACCCACCATAAGCTGGACCCTCCTACATCAATCATTAATTAAGAAAATGTCCTACAGGCTTGCCCACAACCCGATCTTATGGAAGCATTTTCTCAATTGAGGCTCCCCCCTCTCACATGACTTTAGCTTGTGTCAAATTGACATAAAACTATCCAGCATAAGGACTCAACCTCTTATGCAAAAGATTGAAGCCTTCACCTGTGTCTTCTGCCCATTGCCCAGGGTACACACTGAGGTCCCAGTGTCTGTCAGCCCCAGTGGCCATACACTTCTGAAGCTCCTCTTCTACCCTGGCTAGAAACACTTTGTATTTTATTCTCGAGGTTTTAGTCATTTATTAAAGAACCCATCTAACCTCAACAAGAGTGTCTGTGAGAAAGGAGAGGCCCCTCTGAATTTCTCCCGTCTTGACTTGAAATTTACACATTCAAAAGAGATGTCTCAGGAAATCAATCACCAACCCAGAAAGAACGTGCATTTGCCAGGGTTGGTGACACATGTGTTAAGCCCAGCACTTGAGAGTCAGAGGCAAGTGGAATTCTGCGAGTTCAAGGCTAACCTGGTCTACAGAGCTAGTTCCAGGCCAGCCAGGGCTGTTACACAGAGAAACCCTGTGTCAAAAAACCAAAAAGAAAAAAAAATGTGCATTTCTGTCACTTTATGGTTCCCATCTTAAGGAATCCCTTGCTTATTAAATAAGTTCTTTTAGCTAATCTGACACCCCAAACATTCTTGATAGAGGTGCCTTGGGAAGCTTCCTTTATTGCCCTTCATCAGCCTGGAAGAACAAATCAAAACATACTCAAATCCCTTCCAAAGGAACTGTGCCTTTTAAAGGTTTAATAGCCACACAGAGCATTTGTAAAGGAACCAAGGACAGACTATAAACCACACCCACCCTCACACAGCACCCTTGAGGCTTCCTTCAGCTTTTCTTTCCCTGGCTCTAGCAGAGGGTGGGGCAGGTAGACAGGTTCAACAATTTTCCACAGAGGGAAACTCTTGAATTCTACTCTCTCCAAGACACCCTATTCTCTTCTGTCTTAGCTGCAAGCTATAGTTCCAGCTTAGGCTCCTGACCTGGGACCAATGCCTATCCATCAGCATAGCAGCCCACATGGTCCTAAAGATAGGGGATATTTGAACATAATATCACATAAGTTTGGTCTGGCCAGAAGTGGTGGCACATGTCTGTAGTTATGGCATTCTGGAAGCCCAAGGAATGATAATTACTGTGAGCTCAAAGCTAGCATGGGATAGCACAGCATAACCTTGTTGAGAAACAGATATGAAACAGAGAGAGAAAGAGAGGGAAGAAGGAGGGATGAAGGAAAGGAGGAAGGAAGGAAGGAAGGAAGGAAGGAAGGAAGGAAGGAAGGAAGGAAGGAAGGAAGGAAGGAAGAAGAGACTGAGAGAAAGAGAGAAAGAAGGGAGAGAGACTGGTTTGATTGGGCTGGGGTTATAATTGAGTGATAGAGCATTTGTTCAAAATGTTTGAGACCCTGTGTTCTGTCTCCCCCTCATCTACACACACACTCACATGCACATCTCCTCTCTCATCCCCCTCCTCTCTCTCTCTCTTTCTCTCTCTCTCTCTCTTTTATTCTTACTCCCCCCCCTTCAAGGTTGTGCATATATAAGATATGGCTGAAGACTGAAAAAGGAATGAAAGTGACCTAAGTATTATGATATATAGGAAACATGGACACTTAGGTAATAAAATGTAGCATCAGCTTAAACTAGAGTTGTTTTCAGTGGGAGGGTTTTTTTTTGTTTTGGGTTTTTTTTTTTAATAGCATAAAAGTGAAACTGAAAGTAACAAGGCACAGAGAGCTGGGCATGAAAGCAAGTGCCTGCAATCCCAACACTTGAAAGACAGAAGCAAGAGGAGCTCAAACTCAAATAGGAAGACCTTGTCCAAAATAAATAAATAAATAAATACTATATTTAAATCATAGAAAGAATGGAGAACTCATAACTCCTGCAGTAATTTGCATTGTTTAATTAGTCTGTTCAGTTTAGTCTTTATCCAGATGAGACACTACAACAAATAAATACAAAATTCTAACCATACAACACATTAATTGTTGAATGTGTATTATGTACCAACAGCATGGCAGATGCTTAGAATACATGAGTGAAGAAAACAAAGACTACTTGTAAAGGTCAGACATTTCCATACCACAAACACCAGGCAGGAGCAAACAGACCAGCTACGTCAGGATGTGACCAGCAACCAGCTTTCTCAGGTTCTGCCCCCTCCCAAAGATGATGCCCACAAATAAGCAGGAAGCAGTCTTGAGAATCCACCGCCCCAATTCCTTTAACTTGTGGTGCCTAACCTCCTGCCTTTTTATTGTAAAAAAAAAAAAGAGATGGGAATGTAATGATCTGTTTTGTCCCTTTAAGAGACAAGCCATGCCCACTCCCTCCCCCAGGCAAGCTGATCTTCAGCTTCCAGCCTGAGTCCCTACCCTTTCCATCTCTCTCAAAGAGGCAGCTTCTGTCTCTCCCTTCTCCCCTTACTCTGTCTCTGTCTCTCTGTGCCTTTCTCTGCTCTTCCCCTTTCTCCCCTTCCCTTCCATAACCCACTAAATAAATATCCAACTTCACTGCATGGTGTGTCTGTTCCTCTAGGTCTCTCACCCGCCATGTGACTTCCTCCCTGGACCTGGCTGCCTGCCTATGCTGGGGGACTTGCGGTGTGGTCTCATGGCCTGCTGCCCACTGCAGCCACTTAGGGATCCACAACATTTTATTTAAACCATAACACTACTGGCCCTTGAAGGTGAATTTTAGTGGAGGAGACAGCCTTACCCAAAGTGGAATAAGTAAGCCATCTAGTTATGCTGTAGGGAAAACAGACACAGCAGGGAGGACTCAGGATCCTGTGTGTGTGGTTTCAGATAGGACTCACTGAGAAAGCAACATCTGAGCAGAGACTTCAATGACAAGACCATTAGCTAAGCCTGTTTCTGGGCAAGGACAGACCAAGCAGAGAGCAAAGGCCTGAGAACTGCCTATACCTGGTATTGTTGAGAAAGGATTATGAGGTTAGGTGGGAGGAGTGAGACCAAAGGATTCCAGTATTTCTATCTGAGCAAAGTGGGAAGCCATTGAGGAATGGAAGGCGAGGAGTGGCGTGAGGTGACAAATGTTAGGAGGCGCCCTTCATGGGCGGCATGGAGAAAATACTGCTGGTACACACAGTTCATCTCAGCACTTGAGAAGCAGAGGCATGTGGGTCTTTTGGGGGTGATTTGGGGGGCTAGTCTGGTCTATACCGTGAGTTCTGGGAAGGCCAGGGCTACACGGTGAGCCCCTTTCTCATAACAACTTACCCACTAAAGGGAAGTACTGCCTGGAGCAAGTCTAGAAGGGAGGGAAAGAGGTTACTAAAACCATTCTGTGTCAAAGACCGTTGGGACTTTAACCAGGGTGGCACTACAGAGGTGGAAAGAAGAAGTCAGATTCCAGATGTGTTTGTGGGTAAGAAAAGAAGAACCAAGGGGAACTTTAAGGTGCGGGGCTTTCACATAACCGAGGAGATCAGAGAAGCGGTTGCCCATGGTTACTGGACAATCCTCACTCCAGAAGCAGCATGAACGCTGATACGGGCTCTCTGAGTGCTGTGGAACTCTTCTTGGCTCTAGGTGGGCTTAACTCTTGGAACCAGGGTGCCAGGCAAGCACAGTCACCAAAGTACCCTGAACTGGTGGCTTCCAGGTTCCTTGTCTCATGCCCAAGAAGAATAAAGAAAGGCAGACAAGGAGTGAGCAAATCTGAGGGAGACGTTAGAGAGAAGCAAGAAAGAAGGCCAAGCTACACGAGCGAGCGAAGCGGCGCCAACTACCCTGCTCAGCTGTCTTTTCCGGGTTTTATACTGGGAACAAAGTAGAGACTGGGGTAATCTATATTAGGATTGCTCATGTTTCGGGCACAGCCAGTAAGGAGTCCATAAACCTCAGCATTCTCTCAGCACTACCAGAGAGTTACTCACCCTTTCAAGAAAGAGGTCATAAGTGCAAAATGGCTAGCACATGGTCCTCCTTGGGGCCCCCGCCCTTAGCTGCCTAAGGGGAGCTAGCTCCTGTCTCAACTCCACAGAGAAGTAAGAGTTTACAAGAGACTGTATAACTGAACAGAAAGTCCCTTTAAGGGCTGGAGAGATGGCTCAGAGGTTAAGAGCATTGCCTGCTCTTCCAAAGATCCTGAGTTCAATTCCCAGCAACCACATGGTGGCTCACAACCATCTGTAATGAGGTCTGGTGCCCTCTTCTGACCTGCAGGCATACACACAGACAGAATAGTGTATACATAATAAATAAATAAATATTTTTTTAAAAAAAAGAAAGTCCCTTTAAATCTCTGTGCCTGCCCTAAGTGTGTATGTGTGTATATCTGTTTTGTTTTGTTTTTATCCTTTGGGGTTTTTGTTTGTTTGTTTGTTTGAAAACAGATCTCCCATAGGCCAGGCTGGCTTTAGGCTTACTACTTAGGAGCAGATGACATTTGAACTTCTGAGTCTTCTGATTTCCTGTCCTAAATGATGCTGAGATTACCCTTTTCTTGTTTTGTTTTATTTTGTTTTGTTTTTGAGATAGGGTTTTGCTGTGTAACAGCCCTGGCTGTCCTGGAACTTGCTTTGTAGACCAGGCTGGCCTTGAACTCACAGAGATCCTCCTGCCTCTACCTCCCAAGTGCTGGGATTAAAGGTATGTGCCACCACCACCAACTGGCGAGAAAAAAAAGGTAATTTACTTCACACCTGTAAACACAGAATTTGGGATGTTGAAGCAGGAGGTTTACCAGCTTGTCACCCTTTGTTCTATCTAACAACCCTTTCTATCTCCAGAACTCACGGAAAGGTGGAGGAAGTGAGCCAACTCCACAGTGTCATCCTCCAACTTCCTCATGGACACTCTGATGACACACATCCATAAATTCACAGCAGCAATACATAATTAATTTAAGTAAGACGAAGATGGAGGAGGAGGGAAAACTTGCACGTTGATTTTCAAGAGTTAAGACATCCCTGCTACCTCAAGGCAGGCCAATGCCCACCACCAACAGGAGTTCACTGGGACGAAAGCAGCCATAAAACTAAGCCAAAAAGGGCACAGGGCTGTGACTGCCTGGATGCCAGGACCCACAGTGTTTTCTTTCCTATTTTCCCTCTCAGTGCTGGGGATGGAAATCGGGGTGTCGGTCCCTAAGCAAGTGCTCAAGCCCAGCCCTAGGATCCGAAGCAGTTCTGCTCCTGTATTACTAAACCATTCACAGAAGAACACGCTTGTCCTAAATAGCTGGCTCTCCCTCACTGCAATGCTCCAGTTTCCATACCCCCACGGCATGCCTGCTTTATCTTTTATAAACTGGGTTCCATGCAAGATTGCATTTAAAAATAAAAGCAGTTTTAGGAAAAGGGGAGAAAAGGCTCATCCAAAGAAAATGAAACAAAACGACAACTTCCATTCTGATCCCAAATCCCCATCGACCTCAGGACTGCTTATGTTGTAGTATTTTCAGGGATTCACAGTGGCTCTCCGCTTAGTATGGGTATGCTCATAAACTTTGTCCCAGCCGGGGTAGTGACACATGCCCTTAATCCCAATGCTTGGGAGGCAGAGAGGCAGGCAGAGCTCTGTGAGTCTGAGGCCAACCTGTTCTACAGAGTGAGTTCCAGGACAGCCAAGGCTACACAAAGAAACCCTGTCTCAAAAAAAAAACCAAAAATAATAAATAAATAGATAATAAACTTTCTCCCAGTCGCCATTCATTACTGTAAAATCAACTTTTAGCAAATAGCCCAACAAAGTCAGTTTAGCCAGAACCCTTTGTCTTTGACGGCTGATTATCCTTAGCACCTGATAGGCTTTCCCACCTGCCATTGTCCCTTAGGCAGACATCTGTCTGATACCTTGCCTGTCTTCAGCAAGAATGCAATTGGGCCAGTATAACCTGAATCCTCCCTTATCCCTAAGGTTTTCTCTTAGGAATCTTCCATCCTCTGACCTCCACCGCCCTATGTATTGCTACTGGTTCAGGCTGTAGGTTTGGAACTGCTGCAAAGTGCCACTGCAGGGGACCTTATCACCTCCTGTGACTGACAGCCCAAATAAAGTCTGCCTCACCATGCTGCAGTAAAATGCATCATTTGGGGCTGGCCAAGTATCTCTGCTGCTAAAGGCTCTTGTCACTGAGACTGCCGACCAGAGTTCAATTCTCCCTGGAATCCATACAGTAGAAGGAAAATTACTCCTACAAGTTGACCTCCACACGTGCCTTGTAGTGTGCATACCCCTCCCCCAGGAGGTGTGTGTGTGTGTGTGTGTGTGTGTGTGTGTGTGTGTGTGTGTGTTGGCTTATTGAGACAGGGTTTCTCTGTGTAACAGCACTTGGCTGTCCTAGAACTAACTCTTTGCAGACCAGGCTGGCCTCAGACTCACAGAGATCCACCTGCCTCTGCCTCCCAAGTGCACTACTACCACCTGGCTATATTTTTTAAGTATTGATTTTTTTTTTCTGTTACTGGATTACCCATAAGATTTTTTGCTTGTTTGTTTGTTGTTTTTAATGGAGATTCTTATTCAGTGGTCTGGAACAGGACCTAAGATTATACATTTCCAGTAAAATCCTTGGTGCCAAGGTAGCTGAGTGTTCTTAGTCAACTTGGAGTAGCAGGAAATTGAGGGTTCTCCAAGGTTCTCAGAAATCTATTAACTTTTCTGTCTACCCCAAAAGAGTTTTGTTACCTGGGCTAGCTCAGGATCCAAAGTTTCACTCTGTAGCTCATGCTGGCCTTGTTCAGCCCTCTTCCTCAGCCTCCCATTATGAGTAGGATTATGGGTGTGAGCCATTTCTTCCAACCAGTTGTGTGTATGCATGTGTGTGTGTGTGTGTGTGTGTGTACATATATGTGTGCTTGTGGAGGCTAGAGGCATTGGATACTCCTGGAGTTATAGTCGCAGCCACTTGTGAGCTACCTGGTACAGATTCTGGGAATGGAATTTGGGTTCTCTGCAAGAGCATCAAATGCTCTTAACCACTGAGCCATCTGAACAGTTTTAATGAAGTATTTTTTCCCAATGATTTGATGTCAGCCAAAATAGTGACTTCTAGACTTCATTGCACCCCCGCTCTGAAGTCTCGAACTTTCTTCACATGTGTTTGCCTCTTTGTCTATCTCTGTCTCTCTAACTAATATTTAAACTTTGGGGCAATTTAAGAAAGCTTCATGTATAGCAAACCTTGTGCCTTGGCCAGTCCATCTTGGCAAGAACCAACTACAGAGGGTTTGTAAAATTTGCCATGAGGGAATTATTTAAAGGTGGCTGGGGTGACAGGCTTCCCTAAATTTAGCATCTTTAAGGAACATCTCCACATTACACCCTTCCCACCCTTTGTGTAAAATCTCATTTCATATTTGAGATTATTTTTTCCGATGTTAGAACTTTCAGACAGGTCCTCTTTCAGAGGAGCGACTGCCCACCCGACTTCCACTGAGTCTTTAAACAAGTCCATTCTTTTATCCACAACTACCTTAAGGCAGGGCTCAGCCAACTTTTATTGCAAAGGTCTAGGTAACCATTTTGGTCTGTAGTTTCTTTGTTACAATGACCCAGCTATGACCTTGTACTATGTAAGTAGCCTTAGACAACATGCAAATACATAGACATGTTGATGATGGTCATTAAAGCAGTGGTTCCCAACCTCCCTGACGTTGTGACCTCCCTGACTACTATGTGACCCTTTCACATAGTTCCTCATGTTGTGGTGACTCCCATAAAATTATCTACTCTATGGTTGTAATTTCGTTAGTGTTATGAATCATAATGGAAATATCTGACATGCAGAATATCTACCAGGGAACCCCTGTGCGAGGGTCGTTTAACTCCTAGAGGAGTTGAAACCCACAGGTTGAGAACCGCTGTGTTGAAGTTTCTTCATTTGTAGGTCAAGTGCTCCATGCATCCAGGCACTCACTGCCAAGCCTAAAGGCCAGAATTTCACCCCGGGGACTCAGGTCATAGAAGAGACCTGACTCTTGCATTGACAAGTTGTTCCCGCACCTCTATACTTATGCTGTGGCACATGCCTCCCCACTCCCACCCCAAAACAAATTTTAAACAGATGTAAAAACATTTGTAATTTAATTTACAGGAAACAGGCTGGGTGTAACTATTAGGGCATCTGTAAGTACTTAGATGTACAGCGGACTGATGACAACTCCAGGTGGAGCATGAGCCCAGTCAGGTACAGACTCGTGATTGCCAGCAAACTGGGCAGAAATGGAATGCAGAAGCTGCCCCAGATGGCACATGGTCACATGGAAGCAGATAAGTGATCAAAGAAACTGTCTGCGAGAGGGAAGCAAGCTCACAAAGAAGTGCCAAGACCAACCTGATGAGGAGAGAGAAGAGAGAGAGGCAATGTTCCTGCAACTCTGGCTGAGCTTCCCAGGGCTGGCTCTCACATAATCCCTGCCTACTTTTGTATCAGATATCTCTTACAGAGCCAATTGGCTTGCTTTCTGTTTCTTGTCATCCGATAACTTGAGCAACCTTTTCTATGCAACTTTGCAAATGACTCCGCGGTCAGTAGCCTTGTGTCCACACCACTGGGACACAAGGTGACCATGCTAGGAGCGGCTCCTTTCTTGCTTCTGTTTCACAGCCCCCACCCCCACCCCACTTTGCCCCCATTTATTTCCAATGGTTCTTTCTTTTTCTCTTTTTGATTCTTTTAAGAAGCATATTTGGAGATTTAATTAAAAGATAATTTTGTATATGCTTAAGCAATGAAAGTTAGGAGAAAAAGAGATGTTGGAAGAAAGCAAGACAGGGCTCAAGAGATGGCTCAGCGATTAAGAGCACTGACTGCTCTCCCAGGGCACCTAAAGGTGGCTCACAGCTGTCTGTAACTCCAGTTCCAGAGTTCCAATCCCATTTCTATTCTCTGTGGATCCAGGTATTCACACAGTGTGCAGACATACAAACACAAAATATCCACTTGCATAAGATTAAAAAAAAATAAAAAATGAGTAAAGTAATACATATCCAAGCGTCGGCATGGGCTCCTTAGGAGCAGAGACCTCCGGTGCCTGTCTCTGTCTCTGAATGTGCTTCATTTTACATCACTCCAGCTTCTACAGATTTGCTTTCCTGTCCTCTTGTCTTTTTATTCTGGATTTTTTTTTTTAATGCAAGACTTGCTGTGATGTAGATCAGGCAGGTCTCAATCTCTCTCTCTCTCTCTCTCTCTCTCTCTCTCTCTCTCTCTCTCTCTTTTGTTTTTGTTTTTGATTTTCAATATAGGGTTCCCTGTGTAGCCTTGGCTGTCCTGGAACTCTCTGTACACCAGCTGGCCTTGAACTCATGGAGATCCACCCACCTCTGCCTCCTGGAGTACTATGATTAGAGGCCTGCACCACCACCACCCTGGCTGGTCTCACACTTTTCTTTTTCAGATTGTAGGAACTTTATTTTCCTTCTCCTTTTCCCCTTTGCTCAGGTGTCTGTGGAGGAGCTCAGGACCACTCAGTGGTGGCTCTAACATACTCAGTGGCCTGCGCTGTGGGAGCTGCTGAGCTCAGTGGCTGGCTGGGCACCCCAGTCTTCCGTAGGGAACTGCTGGATGGGTCCCAAGGATACCTGCACACCCTCAGACCTGTTGGCCACCTCTGGCTGAGCAGCAGTGAATTCAGGAACTGGCACAGTTCATTCGCCCTGAAATTCCTACTTGGTCACAGCCTTCTCAGCAGCAGCCTGCTCCTCCTTCCCAATCTCCTCTGGGTCTCTGTAGAACCTCCCATGGGTGCTCCATGCATGTAGAGTACTTCCCGGACCAGCATCAGCCACATCAGACCCACTGAGTGAGCTCCCTTGTTGTTGCATGGGATGACTGGGCAGTGGTCCAAAACTCTGAGCGCTCTTGCCCCAGTTTCTTGAGTGGAGGGTCTACAGGGTTGTATCAGTTTAGGGCTTTGTTTTTGATACTATTGCATTAGTTTATTTTTTTCCTATCATGTATGCGTGTGTTATGTATGTGTATGTAGTGTGTGAGTGTTTGTATGTATGTAGTATATGTGGTACGTATGGTATATGTATGTAATGTGTGTATATGTGGCATGTGTGGGTATGTCTGGTATATGTATATGTAATGTGTGGTGTGTGTGTGATATGTGTATATATACTGTGTGTTTGTGGGTGTGTAGTGTGTTTGTGT